ATATATATATAAGGACATGTTTAAATGTTATATAACTGTTATCAATCAGTAGTTGCTAAGGCATTAAATGTTTTATATCAACATAGGACATCTTACATATTTTTCACTTCATTACTAGTGGACCCTTTTATTTAGAGGCAGTTATTTCTTCATAACACCAGGATGTTATGTCATACGACTAAGTTCAAACTCTATTTATAAGCGTCTATATTTAGGACAACCACCACAGCATCGACCTCTCCCCTCCCACTCCATTATCCCGTTGTTTCCCTTCAGCCTCCCTTTTAAAAAGTAGAACACATGTTTGACTAATGGCCGAGTTTCTCTGTCAAATGATATCTGCTGTTGTTTCCAGGAGGCTGTAGCGCACCTGGAGCAGGGCATGCAGGCGGAGAGGCAGTGCACCCAGCTGGTGGAGCAGCACGAAGCAGCCCAGGACTGGCTGAGGGAGCACGTTAAATGCCAAGGAGCTCCTCCAGAGGACAGACGGGGTCTGCACAACGCTGTCAACACTCTGAAGGTGAGATGATGAAACACAGACACACATTGTTAGTTTGAGTCTTGAGAGAAGCGAGTGGCACCGATTTTGATCAATGAAAATATTCATGTTGTATTGCACCAAACAGAAGGAATCCCTTTACTAGAAACAAACCAATACATGCTCCCAAATCTTTTCTCACATTTATAATATAATATAATATATATAATTATTGGAAGCACCAATCGATGAGCCAACAGTCGAAACCGGCGGGTTGTCAGCTGATCGACCATGACCGGTTCCCGGCCAATCAGTCTCATATATACGGCTTTTTTGCCTGTCAAATTTACACACCTGTGCCGCACGATGGTTTTACATCGCGCACACACAGCCACACACACGCAACAAGCATGTCGTGCACACAATGAGAGCTGCTGCACATAGTACAGCCACACACACACACACACACACACACACATCATGTCGTCAGTGTGTAAGTTCCTCAGCCTGTGTGAAGAAGATGTAAAACTTATAATCTGTAACACCTGCAAGTCCAAACTTTTGGTGAGAGAAGGTCCTCTAACTTGGTGCAGTTTTGGAGAAAAGCTATTTAATAGTCAATGTTTTCTTATAAACATACAATTTAATTTCAATTTTCCATAAAAGAAAAGTTACAAAACTATTTTTGGATGCTGTCATTTAAGTTAAGAAGTTAAGAAAGAAAATCAGGTCAGATTTTAGGACATTGGAAGTGGCCAAGACAAGTTATACTGGTGCATCTCTAATAGAAATGTTTACAATTTCTAACCAAATAGTGAACGGCTCTTTCACTCAAATTGTTCTTTCTGCATTTTAATAATCTGGTTCTCCTGTTTCTCCCTCCTGTAACCAGGCCTTGCTGCAGACAGTGGATAGGGAGCAGCGAGAGATGAAGGAGCTGGACTCTTCCAGAGACAGTCTGCTGAGCCTCTGCACCCCAGGAGGTCAGGATGCCCTGACCCTGGAGGTCAGGCATCTCCACGACCTCTGTGCCACCTCGGAGCGGGAGGTGAGGGAGCGCCTGGTGGCCTGTGAGACGCGGCTGGAGGAGCTGGACGGTCAGCTGGCGAGGAGGGCCCAGGGGCTGAAGGAGAGAGCTGCAGCCCTGCAGTGGGAGCTCCGCTCTCTGGATCAGGCGCTCGGTTACAGCGAACCGCAGAACAACATCGCTCAGCTCCAACAGCACTGGCACAGCCTTAAGGTTATTACTGCTCTATTCATCCTGATCTAAAACCTAATGCAGCTATCGCTTTCATCATCTAGTACCAAAGTACCAACAACGACATGTAAAACCACTGCCATGTTCCACCTGCAGTTCTGTGAATTCTGCTAACGCGACGCTGTTGAAGGCCTCTCAAGACTACTCCAGTAATGTTGTTGTCTTTCTCCTGTTAGAACTGTGAGAATTCTCTGAAGGATTTGGATGTGAAAGTTAATGACCTTCACCAGGAAGTAAAGTCTACACCTGCCACTGACGAGCTGCCATCAGAAATTATGAGTCTGGTGAAGTCCTTATCCCAGCAGCACGACAGGTACCATATCTCACCACATGTTCTTATTGTTGCAGTAGTGCTGCCGCACATAGATCAAAACAAAGCATGACTGATTGGTGCCAAGATCTGTTTGATTTATATATTTTTGTTTCGCTCAAGTTGTAGACAAGAAAGAGGTGGTCTGCACATACCTGACCAAGTCACATGACATGCAGTAACATCTGTCCACTTCACCACTGGGGCATTTTAAACTATACAGCTCACTTCTGAATGACAAATCCTCAGCTGGCATCCCTCTATTTCAATTTAGTTTTCAATTATTCTTACATACCAAAAACATGCCTTAGTGGATCATTCTGCTCTTGATGAATGACATGGAAACATAGAGTTCTCCTGATTTATAACCTGTTTGAAACATCCAAAGACTTCATGTCATCTAATGCCTGGTTCCATGAGCTAAGCAATTAGACTCACATTTATACATAAACATTTCTCTGTTGTTATGTTTTTGTTAATCTGTCCTTGCAGTTGTTGCATTTGCACTGTTTAATGCAGAAAGAAAGTCTGTTTTTATGTCATCTAGTATGATGCATGCAGATACCATGCTAAATATTTTCGTATGCAATACATATGATTTCATTGTTTTTACAGTCTAAAGTCCAGGCTGAGTGACCATCAGGAGACGTGCTCTACAAACACAGCTCGCTGTCTGATGGACTGTCTTCACGCCCTGCAGGAATGGAACTACAGCAAACCATCAGAGTCCATTTCTTCTGTGCAGGTTCCTGTCTTTTAATTATTTTACTGTTTTTCCAGGCAATGCAAGTACTTTGCAAGTAAGCATTTGTGCAGTTGAATACATCTGAAAGCTGCCTACTTCATCTTGTTTTCTACTGTGTTTGCATTTTGTGGAGTGATGATGGACCTATGAAGAGTGTCATTCATTCTTTTTATGCTCATATTTTCTAATGTTACCCTTAACTATAATCAGGTAAACTGATGTTGCGAGTTTGTTGCGGAAAATATACATTACATTTTCATCAAAGAAAAGATTTTTGGGATTTGTGTAACATTTTGACTCTAATGGAGCATTTGTCAGTGGCTTATTTATGCTCACTTGGCAATGTGTTATAAATGTTGTTCTGACATTTCACACACAAACACAGATTTAACATTTCTTTTTTTCTTCCTGGTGTTAGGCGACGTTAGAGGAAGGTGAAAAGTTGCAGGCCAGCCTGAGGGAGGCGCTTTCCCACCAGTCGTTTCTAACAGAATGTTTGATGCCAGTCTTGTCTGAGAAACTCCTGAGCCAGGGTTCAGAGACACTCAGAAAAGCAGACACGCACAAGGCTTCTCTCAACCAGAGCTTAAAGGTATTTCAATCATGATCTATTTCATATGAAATTCTAAGTAACTCTGCAGTAATTAATACTGTTTTTACTCTTTCATTCGAAGAAACTTGATGGAAAGAGTAAACAAAAGCTGCCTGATGTCCTTCCTGGTAATCAAGAGGAAACAAAGACATCTGTAGTGGCACCACCACGGAAAAGCAAGCGCTCACCTGAGAAAAAACATCAACAGAAAAACATTCCCTCAACAGAAGAATGTACATCTATTGAGGATGAATTGTCAGTTTCAGCTGAGCTAAAAATTGAGGCTAAAACATTAAAGCCTGCTGTGACAGCAGTCATTGAAGACATAACAGTTGCTGGTGCGGAGCAAACCAGAATTGAATTGACAAAAAATAAATCTCAGAGTCCAACCAATCCTTCAGAACCCTTTACAGCTCAACGTTTCAACACTTCTGAAGAATCACTGTTTAAAAGTATAAAGCCAGATACCTCAGCTGAGCCAGTTGGTGCCGAGCAAATTAAACCTGCTGTTGAAGAATCTGTACTCATCCAAAAGGTCATTGAGCAGTCGGCACCTGGTGTTGGTGAGAAAACTACACCTGTACCATCCAGGAGAAAGTCAAAGACTTTGGCCACTGATACAGAGCCTTCCAAGACTAAGGTGGAGCCCGAAATGGTGAAAACTATTATTACTCAAGGGTCACCCAGAAATCCAATCGGAACTGCTGCTGTAGAAGAAACAAAGCGTATCACAACCATTGTTCTAGATGTATCAGAGCCATTCACGTCTGCCCCTGTGACAACTGACACTAAGTCAGTCACAGAGCAAGCTGAGACCATGGTTGTTGAACAGGCCAAGCTTGGACCTACCAGTAAAGAGTCAAAGAGTACAGACGTGTCCTTAAAGATTACTGTTTCAAAACCTGCACAGATCAAAAGTGACGCTGAGAATCTGATGTCTCTCCAAACTTCAGCGCTTATCACAGAAGCAGATGCTGGGCAACCTAAGTCTGTACGAAAAGGACAAGAGTCCAAGACTTCCAAATCTTCCACAACTTCTGAACCAGTTTCTGAGTTCAAGGAAACTAAGAAAGAACCTGAGAAAGGGAAGACTTCTTCAACTGCTCAGGGGATCTCACAGCCAGTAGAAACTGCTGTTAAGGGAGAAAGTAAGCTCTCGCCAACAAAGTCAAAGAGTCCAAAACTTTCCCCAGAATTTTCTAACAAGGAGAAAACACTGACCGTGGAAAAGTCCAACAGTCAGATGTCTTTACTGAGATCCAAGGAGCAAACTGAAGCAGCTGTTGTGGAGGAAGAAGCTAAGGTTATAACAACCAGGAGAAAGTCAAAGAGTCTTGTCGTTTCCACTGTTCCAGAGCCAGTGTCAGCCGTTGAAAGAACTACAGCTGTGGTGAAAAAACCTGAGAAGTCTTCATCCTCAGAGTTGGCTCCAGCTCCAACTAAAACTGCTGTTTTGGAACAAAGTGAGGTTTTACCACTAAAGCAAAAGTCAACAACACCCGACCAGCAGGCAGCACAGATGACAGAAGAACCTGAAAGTCAGAGAACTGCTTTCAGTTTCAGGGAACAAAAATCAAAGAGTGCTGAACTTACCACAACTTTGCAGCAAATTGGTGCCGATAACATAACTACTAATGTTGAACCTGAAGATAATAAGAAAGAACCTGACTGCCTGAAGTCTTCTTCAACTCCACAGGTGGTTACAGAACCAACTGAAACTACTGTCGTGAAAGAAAAGAAGCTTTCTCCAACCAAAAGAAGACCACAGAGTCGAAAGCTCTCTTTAGAACAAGCTACCAAAGAGGTGGCAGCGACTATGCAAGAGCCTGAAAGTCAAAAGCCTACATTGAGCTCCAGGGAGCAAAATGAAACTTTTGCTGTGGAAGAAACTAAAGTTACACCAACCAGAAGTAAATCAAAGGGTATTGAGGTTTCCACAGTCCCAGAGCCAATGTCTCCCCTTGGTAGAATTACTGTTGTGGAGCCGAAGGAAACAAAACAAGAACCTGAAAATGTTCAAGGGCAAGCCAAAACTGCTGTTGTTGAACAAATTAAGCTTCCACCACCCAAGAGAAAGTCAAAGAGTACAGAATCACCTCTTAAACTAGCTGACACTGAGGCACCTCAGACAAAGATAGAAACTGAAGATCAAACATTTTGCTTGAGTTCCAATGGCCAAAGTAAAAGTATTGTTAAGGAAGAAGCAAAGCGTGTGCCAACCAGAAGGAAGTCAAAGAATGGTGACCTTTCAACAACTTCCGAGACAGTTGTTACCCATAGATCACCTGATGTGGAGCCTGAAAGAAATAAGAAAGAACTAGACGGTCAAATGTCTTCAACTCCAGATGTGGTCATGGGGAAAACTGAAAGTACTGCTGTGGGAAAAGCAGAGCTTTTACCTACCAAAGAAAAGTCAAAAAGTCTTAAACTTTCCTCTGAACTGACAAAGACAAAAGAAGAGCATGACAGTCAGAGGCCATCTTCAACCCCAGAGGTGGTCACAGCAACAACTGAAGTTACTGTTGTGGAAAAAGGTAAACTTTCACCAACCAAAAGAAGGTCAAAGGGTATCAAAATTTCTCCAGATTTTGCTAGCACAGACCGGACAAAGACCAAGGAACAGCCTGACAGTAAGAAGCAATCTTCAACTCAAGAGTTAATCCCAGAAACAACTGAAACTACTGTTGTGGCAAGAGGAGAGCTTTCACCAACCAAAACTAAGTTGAAGGAATTGAAACTATCCCCAGAACTTGCTACCACAGAGCTGACAAAGACCAAGGGAGAGCCTCACAGTCAAAAACCATCTTTATCTCTTGAGGTGGTCACAGCAACAACTGAAATTACTGTTGTGGAAAAAGGAGAGCTTTCCCCTACCAATGGAAAGTCAAAGGGTCTTAAACGCTCTCCAGAACTTGCTACCGTAGAGCTGACGAGGACAAAGGAAGAGCCTGACAGCCAGAGGCCATCTTCAACTCCAGAGGTGATCAAAGCAACAACTGAAGTTACTGTTGTGGAAAAGGGAAAGCTTTCACCAACCAAAAGAAAGTCAAAGGGTCTTAAACCTTTTACAGAACCTGCTTTCACGGGTTTATCTCAAACCAAGGACGTGCCTGATAGTCAAATCATGGATAAACAACCACATTCCGAGCTTCAGGGGCCTAAAACTCGATCTAAAGAGGCCACAGAAGAAGCCATTACCCAGTCTACAAGTACAGCACCTCAAACACAACCACCTCTTTCCACCGAGCCCAGTGGTTTGTCAGACTACATAGCAAAGTTATGGGAAAACACAGTTGAGGGTCAGAAGAGATATCTTGTCCTCGATCTGCCTGAGATTGGTGCAACCCAGACATGTGAGATAAAGCCAGATCAGCAAGAGGCAGAAGGTGTGGCTATAAGTGACTCCACTCAACCTAACTCTGCTGCTTTTGCAGTGGCGCTGCCTCATAAGGCAGAGACAGAACTTTCAGAAATAAGCTCACCCAAGCAAGACTTAATGAAACCAAGTGAAACTGTGAGTCAGTTGAGGCTCACTCAGGAAAGACCCAAAGAGAAAAAGGATTATGATGTTCAGGGAGAGCATTATAAAGTGTCTACACATGACGTGTATGATGCACCTAAGAGTCTGGATGAAAATTCTGTTAAGAAAATCCACTTGGAGCCTGAAGTGCACATTATACAGCTAGATTTACAGGCCAGTCCAGATGAGGGTGAAAACACATCCTTCACAAGAGCAAAAACAATGAATCCACTTCAAACAAGTATCCAGAGTGAAAGAGTACCAGAAAACAAAGATATGACCGCTGCTGATGTGAAGCCAGAGAAGGCTGCAGTTAAGATGACTACAATAAAAGTGCGAGAAAGCCGTGCTGAATGTCAAGACAATGTTACTGAAAGGGACTCTGCCCAACCAACTCCTGCTTGTGAAGCATTGCCCTCAGATGAAGCAGGGACAGAATTCATAGAAATTAGCATATCTGAGCAAGATATGGTGAAACCAAGCCAAACCGAGACTCAAAGAGGGCTCTTTAAAACCAAAAAGGAAAGACCCAAACCTGTCAAGGAACATGGTGTCAGTGAACAGTATTCTACACTCTTGACACATGGCATGGACAATGAACCCAGGAGCTTTGAAGAAAAATCTGAGAGGATGGAGAAACTCCCCATGGGTACTGAAGTGTGCATCCTACAACTAGATATACCGACCAGTCCGGAGAAGGATGAAAAGACATCTGTCACAAGAGCAAAAGAGCTAAGAATAGATATTGTTCAAACAAGTATCCAGAGCGAAAGATTGCCAGAAAACAAAGATATCACGACTACTGATGTTAAGCCAGAAAAAGCTGCTGTTGAAATGACTAAGATGAAGGTGCAACAAAGTAGTACTGAACATCAAGACAATGTGACTCAAAGGGGCTCTGCTCAACTCAAACCGTCTGGTTCTGAAACATTGCAACCACATGAGACAGAATTGATAGAGATAAGATTATATGAGCAAGAAACGGTTAAACCAAGCCATACCGACACTAAGAAGGAAATCATGAAAACTACACAGGATAGAGCTACAGAGTTCAAGGAACATGGGGTCCAAGAAGAGCATCCCAAAGTGTCAACACCTATTATGCACGATGTACCCCAAAGTCTACATGAAAAGTATTTGAGGATGGAGAGAATCCACATGGGCCCTGACGTGCGCATACTACAACTAGATTTACCGACCAGCCTGGAGAAGGATGCAAACACATCAGTCACAAGAGCGAAAGAGCCAAGGATAGATATTGTTCAAACAGGTATCCAACGTGAAAGAACCCCAGAAAACAAAGATAATACTAAATCAGAGAAGACGACCTGTAAAACACAAGTAGAAATGCAACAAATCACCACTGAAAGGCAAGATAATGTAGTTGATTTTGCAGAAGTGAAGCCAAATGAAGCAGAGATAACATCCGCAGGAGTAAGGTTATCACAGCAAAACCCTGTAAAACCAAGCGAAACAGTGATTAAACTAGAGCTTGTGAAAACCACAAAAGAAAGACTCACAGAGGTCAAGGATCGCAATGTGCAAGAAGTGCATGCTAAAGTGTCAAAAAAACACTTGCATGATGCACCCCAGAGCCCGGAGGAAAAGTCTGTTAAGATGTCTCAAGAGTTGGTCACAGCAACAACTGAAATAACTGTTGTGGAAAAAGGAGAACTTTCACCGACAAAGGCTAAGAGTCTTAAACTTTCTCCAGATCTTGCTACCAAGGAGCTGGCAAAGGCCAAGGAAGAGCCTAACAGTCAGAAGCCATCTTCAACTCCACAGGTGGTCACATCACCAACTGAAATTACTGTTGTGGTAAAAGGTGAACTTTCACCAATTGAGAGAAAGTCGAAGGACCTGCAACTTTCCCCAGATATGGCGGCCACAGAGCTGACGAAGACCAAGGAAGAGCCTCACAGTCAGAAGCCGTCTTCAACTCAAGAGGTGCTGACAGCAACAACTGACACTGCTATTGTGGAAAAAGGAGAATTTGTACCAACCAAAGGAAAGTCAAAGGGTCTTAAACTTTCTCCAGAAGTTGCTTCCACAGAGCTGATGATTACCAAAGAAGAGCCTGACAGTCAGAGGCCATATTCAGCGCCAGAGGTGGTCACAGCAACAACTGAAATTACTGTTGTGGAAAAAGGTGAACTTTCCCCAACCAAAATAAAGTCCAAGGGCCTCAAAATCTCTCCAGAACTTGCTACCATGGATATGATCAAAACCAAGGAAGAGCCTGACAGTCAAAGGCCATCCTCAACTCCAGAGATGGTCACAGAGACCACAGAGATTACTGTTGTGGAAAAAGGAAAGCTGTCACCAAGCAAAAAGATGACAACGGATCTGAAACTTTCCTCTGAATTTCCTACCAAAGAGCTGATTGATGTCAAGAAAGAAACTGACAGTCAGAAGTCTTCAGTAGATTCCAGAGAGTCAACTGAATGTCCAATTTTGGAGGAATTTACCATACCAGCCAGAAGGAAGCCAAGGCGTCTTGATGTTTCCACAGCTGAAGAGCATGTCTCTGCTCCTGGTGGAAGTATTGATGTGGAGGCTAAGGAAGAATACAACAGTGTGAATGTTTCAACTGGACAGGTAAGCACAGGAACAACTAAAACTGATGTTGTGAAAGACACTAACCTTCCCCTAACCAAAAGAAAATCAAAGAGTGCAAAGGATTCTTTAGAACTTTCTAGCAAGGAGCTGACAAAGACCAAGCAAAAGCCTCACAGTCATAAGCTAATTTTAAGTCCAGAAGTGGTCGCATCACCAACTGAAATTAGTGTAGTAGAAAAAGATGTTATTTCACCAACCGAAGGAAAGTTAAAGGGTCTTAAACTTTCTCCAGAACTTACTGCCACACAACTGACAAAAAACAAAGAAGAGCCTGACAGTCAAAGGCCATCCTCAACTCCAAAGGTGGTCACAGCAACAGCTGAAATTGCTGTTGTTGAAAAAGGAAATCTTTCGCCAACCAAAAGAATATCAAAGGCTCTGAAAGTTTTTGGGGAATTTGCTACCACAGAGCTTATGGATGTCAAGAAAGAACCTAATAGTCAGATGGATTCAGTTGACTCCAGAGAGCAAACTAAAACTGCAGTTTTAGACAAATTACCAGCCAGTAAGAAGACCAGGTGCCTGGATGTTTCCACAGCTGTAGAGCCAGTCTCTGCTCTTGGTGGAAGTATTGAAGTACAGTCTAAGGAGGCTGAGAAAGAATATTACAGTGGGAGGGCTTCAAGTGGACAGGTAGGAACAGGAGCAATTAAAACTGATGTTGTAAAGCACACTAACCTTCCCATAACCAAAAGTAAATCAAAGAGTAAAAAGGTTTCTTCAGAACTTTCAAGTACGGAGTTGACAAAGACCATGGATGAGCTTTACAGTAAGAAGCCATCTTTAACTCCTGAGGTGGTCACAGTACCATCTGAAATTACTGACATTGCTTTTGTGGGAAAGGGTAAACTTTCACCAACAAAAAGAAAGTTGAAGGGTCTGACACTTTCCCGAGATCTTGCTACCACAGAGCTGACTCAGACCACAGAAAAAACTCAGAGTCAGAAGCCAGAATTAACTCCAGAGATGGTGACGGCAACAACTGAAGTAACTATTTTGGAAAAGGGAGGGCTTTCACCTGCCAAAGGAAAATCAAAGGGTTTTAAACTATACCCAAAACCTGCTACCAAGGAGCTGACAAAGAACACAGAAGACCCTCACATTCATGAGCCATCTTCACCTCTGGATCTGGTAACAGCATCAACTACTATTCATGTTGTGGAGAAAGCTAATCTTTCACCAACATTAATCAAGTCAAGGGGTCTTGAACGTTCCCCAAAACATGCTACTACAGAGCTGACAAGGACCAAGGAAGAGCCTGGCAGTCAGAAGCCATCTTCAACTCCACAGGTGCTCACAGCACCAACCAAAATTACTGTTGTGGAAAAAGATGAACCTTCACAAACCAAAAGAAAGTCAAAGGAT